ACTTCCTTAAAAAAAAAAAAGTGAAGTCGGAGGTTCAGCATGGACTCATGGTTGAGACATTTGCCGTTTCCGGCGACACCACCCTCCCCTGGCCTCTGCACCTCGTGCCCTGTGTTTGGGAGCACGACCTCGCCTTGACCGAGCGTGGTGCTGGCAGGGGGTGAGGACACACTGTGATGTGACCGTTGGCTCACTGTCCAGGGCTTCGTGCCCTGGGCTTCGAACTCAGCTCGTGAGACTCTAAAGCTCACGCGTTTCTAAGGGATCCATAAAGGTGGGGGGCCCTTGGAGGTCTGGAGCGAGGGAGCGAGTCGGCCTTACCCCCGAACCCCCAGGCCTCGGTGACAGAGAGCGGGGCAGGCAAAGCTGGCCTGGAGGGCGGGGCCCCCGTTCCTCCCCGTCTCCTTCCCCCAGCACCCCCACAGCTGCCCTGAGCGCAGAGGGTCCCCGAGGCCTGCAGCTCCCCTGCAAGCCCCTGCTGGCACCCCAGGAGAAGGACACACCAGCCCAGGGGAGACAGGGACATGGGCGCAGGGCCCCTTCCCCTCACTGACCAGCCCAGCCCAACACCAGAGGCTCCGAGCCCCGGAAGACCGGACACATGGCTCCCCCGGGATCCACACGGCCGGGTTCCTGCGGCAGTGGGACCCTGGTGTGTTTCTTCAGATACAGTCCTGTGGGACCCCAATACGTGTGAGGGCAAAGTGGGGTTGTTCAGCGGGGCCGAGGCGGGCACAGAGGGCTCCCCTGACCGTCCACGTGCCCTTCCCAGCTGCCCGCCACGTCTGTGCCCCTCCCGTCCGGGCCCCTCTGCGTCCTCACCTGGGCCATGTGCTTCCTTTCCAGGACATGTTTGCTGCGGCCGTGTCCCTGGTCACCGGGAAAATCCTGTACATCTCCGACCAGGTGGCCCCCCTCTTCCACTGTAAGAGGGACGCCTTTCGTGACGCCAAATTCGTGGAGTTCTTGGCGCCCCACGACGTGGGCGTGTTCCACAGCGCAACCACGCCGTGCCGGCTACCGCCGTGGAGCGTCTGCAGGGGGGCAGGTGAGGGCCTGGGGGGCCGCGTAGGAGGGGGGGCACGCGGCCGCCCGCCCCGTCCACGTGAAAGAGAAAAACTGTTTGTTTGGAATGAGTTTAGGAGAAAAGGCTTTTTATGCATTTCAAAGGGGGAAACCCTTCAGGAGCTTAGGAACCCTTAGGCCTTCGGGAAGCTGGGTCTCCCGAGTCTGCAGAGTGCGGGAAAGTCCGAGGCGCACCTGGGTGTCCTGCTGAGGGGCGTGACAGTGGTGGAGTGACCGCGGACGTGCTCCTCACCTTGGGAGCAGCTTGGTGACCGCAGACATGACATCCTCCCAGGCTCACGCCTTGGGCAGTGGTGTGCGGGGCCGTCACTGTCCAACCCACCTCGAGCCAGGTGCTCACCCCCGCCCGATGTCCCAGACCCCAGCCGCCAGGTCGCGGCCTTTCCCGTCCCCAGAGCCGGTGTTGCGTGTGTCAGCCTCTGGCCTGTGCCCGTGCCTGCCGCCGACACGCCCTGCGGGGCTGCAGAGCTGAGGCCTGGGCCACCTCTGTCGGACTTTCCCACACCACCCCCGTCAGCCCCACAGCCAGGCGTGTGTAGTTAACCGTGGCGCCTCCACGTCCTCCTCCTCCAATGCGACTGGGAACACTGAGTCTGGAAGGCTTGGACGCTGTCCCCGTGACCAGCACAGGCCTTGCACATAGTAGGTGCAGGAGGGGACTGGACAACCAGGCGAGACTCAGGGGCCCGAGACGGGAGGGTCTCTACCAGCTCAGGCCTTCCCTGCAGCCCCTCCATGCTCGCAGCGACCAGGAGGCCAGCGAAAGGCCCCTTTTGAAGCGTAAGTCCTTCGGCACCTGTCCCCAGCAGCGCCTGTCCCCTGCAGCACCTGTCCCCTGCAGCGCATGTCCCCTGCAAGGCCTGGCTATCCGCCGGCAGCCAGAGGAGCCCTCGCTCCTCGGTGGGCTCCGATTGCTCTGGGCTGAGGTTGACTGAAGGGCAGAGCACTGAGGAGCTGGGAGAGATGAACGGAAAGCGAATATGGCCAGGAGCCCCCCAGACAGGCTCGACCTCAGCCAGAAATTTGACTAAGAGCCAGCCCTGGCCACCTGACCCACAACTGTCCCCCGATTCATCTTTGGCTCATGAGTCAGCTTTTCCACTGACATTACACGCCCACCAGCTCCACCCTGTCACCACCACAGGTCCACAGCTGTACCTTCCTGATGACAGACCCCCTGGGCCCAGAGTTGGATGTAGGGCTGGCTCCTAAGAAGAAGGGACGCTCGCTTTGGGTTTCAGATATAGAGCCATCCACTTTGTCCCCAAATCCAAGCCCAAGGTCTGTTCATAGCACGAAAGCTTGCAGGGCACGTGACGAGGACGCAGTCAGGGCTAGGTCGCTGTGCGGAAGGGGTCACGCTGCGCAGGCGGGAAACAGGCGCCATCTCCCCTGATGCTTCTGACTGAATTTTTGTCTGAATAAGAGGGACCAGGTGACTTATCGGAGGCCTTTGCAGGCCAGTGATTTCTGTCGTTTTCCCTAATGAGTAAGTGTGTGCTTTTCCCTGTTTCTTTTGAGTAGAGGACACTTTATGTGCAAGATCAAAGTTTAAAATTTCTTTTTAAAATATCCCATTGTTATGGAAACACCATTCCTTTATCTGTGACCAGGTCACCTAGCTGACCTCATGCTTCTACTAAACATCTAAAATTTCAAAGGAAGCATTTTAGCAAAAGGACTGACGTAAGCTTTGAAATGTCCTGAGTTGCTTTTGTTAGAACTGAATACCCCCCAAATCTGTCGGCTGGAATGTTCCGGGTTTTACATGCAAAACTCCTGCCTACCGGTCAGTCTTTGGGGTTAAATTGTTCGCTAGCTGGTGTGTTCGCGGCAGCATCGTGTGCCCTTTCAAGAATGGCAGACTCCTGCGTAACTTGGTGCGGGCCACGCTGATGAAACGTGTTTCGCTTCAGTCAGAACTGTAACCAAAGGTCTCTAATCAAAGCGTTGGCGTAAGCCTGCGTTCACACCTGCCTCTCTTTAGGAGAAGTACAGAGTGCTGCCCATACCTGGTTGTGTAATCGGATGAGTGACTTTGGGCTTTTTCTCTTAGATTCTTTCACTCAAGAATGCATAGAGGAGAAATCTTTCTTCTGCCGTGTCAGGTAAGCCCAGTTTCTGGTTTTCCTAAATTCGAAATGGACAGACGTTTCCGCCCAAGTGGCTCGCGTGGCGTGGTTAGCCCGGCCCCGCAGCAGGGCTAACCACGGTGCCTGCTCGCTCAGGGCAGGCAGGGCTGCGGGGGGGCCCCTGCCACACAACGTCCCTGTCCCTGAAAAGCGCGTGAACACGTCATAGCTGCATTTCAAATGTACACAGGCAGTTGATGGCATGGTCAACAGTGGAGCGATTTAAGCAGTCCTCATGGGGAGTATCAGCTGGGAAAGCGTCCGTAGAAGGCATGCACCCCGCGGCCCGTGAGGACCCCAAAACACGTAGCCTTTGGTTAGCGTGTGCATTGTTCCGGGAATTGGCCCTTAGCCTTCCCAGATTTTAGCCTGAAACAGAGCGACTGGTCGAGCATGCAGCCACGGTATCAGGAGTAACCCCTGGCCAGACCTGGCGCCCACTGCTGGAGCAGCGTCCCTTTCCCCAATTAAAATGCAAACTGCCCTAGAGATGGGCTGGGAGACCTCCCACCGCTCAGGGCCGGTGACCCCCTGACGTACCTTACATGTCCCTGGAAACCTGAGGGAGGGGGCAGAAGAGCAGGGTGGGGGCCCAGCTCTGAGGGCGGGGGCAGGGCGGGGGCCAGGGCAGCTTCGCAGGCACCTGCACGAGGGGTGAAAGGCTTGCCAAGAGGGGCCGCCAGCTGTGGGGTGTGTCACCAGCGGTGAGGAAGGCTCCTGTCCTGACTCCAGCCTCTGATCACACCCTCCTGTGCAGTGTCGGGAAGAACCGTGACAGTGACATGCGCTACCAGCCGTTCCGCATGACACCCTACCTGGTCAGGGTGCCGGAGCCGCAGGGCGCCGAGAGCCAGCTGTGCTGCGTGCTGCTGGCAGAGAGGGTGCACTCCGGCTATGAAGGTAAGGCCCGGCCCTCACCACGGAGGCCGCAGGCCCCCGCCTCCCACCCCAGATCAGAAACGCGTCCATAAGGCTGACCCCAGCCCGGCCACTCCCGCAGCCCTGGGCAGAGGCTCCATCTCAGGACGAGAGGGCACCCCCACCTTTGCCGCCTGGCCCTCCCTGGAGCCCCTGCCACGCCACACCTCATGGGCCGGTAGGCATCTGTCACCCATGTCCGGGCTATCACCGTGACAGCTGTGCCTTTCCCTCCCCCCACCCCTGCCTTCCATGTGCAGCGGGAACAGCCCCACCCCCTAGGTCCAGGGCCCAAGTCCCTCCCACCCACATGCACTCCCTGACCTCAGCCCCCAGGACCCCTCTGAAGTGCAAGGACTCAACCTCCTGCTCAGAACCCCAAGCCATCCCACCCGCTAAGGAATAAAGTGCAGGGCGCCCCTCCCCGCCTTGGCCCATCCTGCTTTCTACTGCACCCCCAGCCTCGGGGCGAGCCCTGGCTTCCGCAGATGAGGGGCCACCGGCCCCTCCTCGCGCTGCCGCTTCCGCCCCTCACTGTCTCTGTCTGTGGCGGTCCAGTCGCCGGAGGCTTGTCTCACCCAGTGTCCTTTCCTGAGCCCTCGGGCCACCCTCTCCCCCCAGTAAAACCCCAAATGTGGCTTCTTCCCTTGAAACGCGAAGGTCCCCAGGCATTTTGCCACCCTGACCCTCCTAGTGACGCCTCTTCATGACCTGCCGGTGACACGGCCTCACGCTGGCCACAACACCTGGCCAGGAACCACGGTCCTCACCAGGAGGACTCAGCAAATCTCACGACTTTGGGAATGCGCTGAAGGCCACACCGTCTGAGCCGCTGGCCTGGGGTCCTCTAGCCCACGTTTAACCGTGTTCATGGTCTCTCAGTGGCGAATAACAGTGGGTTTTTTTAAAGACGCTTTTTTTAAACAGTAGAAATGTTTTAAGTATGTGGCTTTCTTTCAAATAGTCGATAGGTTCCTGCATATAGGACATTCTCTTCCAAATGATTTCCTTTATGCAAATTACCTTCGTCCACCCTAGAAACCCTGAAGTCTCAGTACAGTGACATTTGCTGACAAGTTTGAATCCAAGCACTTAACTCATTTTAAACCCTTTTCCCTTTTAGAAAAAAAAAACGTGCAGCCGGCTGCCAGTGGCATGTAACACCATGCGTAGGAACGCTACATTTTCTAGGATTTGACGTTTTCAGCAATCCAGAATTACTGTTTTATAAATGGAAACACCACTCCTAAAATCAGAACGATGTAAACAGGATGATGTCATTTGTTTCCTAAGACTATCGATATGCTAGAGCGATGCGAAAATAATAATAAAAGTGAGATATTTTGTGACAGACTTTGGGGTGAGGGTGGGGCTGTCATCTGCGAGTGATCTTGGGGTGAACGCTGCAGCTGCCCATGCCGCCCGCAAGTGCTCTCAGGGCAAACGGGAAAAGGGTTAAAAAGCGTTTGTGCAACTCATCTCGTGGGATATTAAAAATCATGACGATGCCTTCCAGCAGGAGTTTGGTTCTGTGAATGTGGAATTCCTAGCTTTCTAGGCTAAAACTGGCCCACACGGAAATTGAGAAGCTGGCTGGCGGCCCTCAGCCGCGGGGTCCGCTCGGCCCCCCGGCGACGGGCAGCTGTTGGAGCCTCCTTTAACATTTCTTCGGCTTCCATCACTCCGAAGCCACGTGGGGTTCTGTGCTGCTTGTGATATAACTGCATTAAGTGTATCTCTCAGAATCTGAAACGTGCAAAATTCTATTTCAGCCCCTAGAATTCCTCCCGAAAAGAGAATTTTCACGACCACACATACACCAAACTGCCTGTTCCAGGACGTGGACGAAAGGTAAGCCCCACGCACCAGCCCCGCCACCAGCGTGCTCGCCTGGCACTCGCTCGTCTCGGAGCCGGCACCGCATCCTCGCGGTGTCACCGCCGAGCTAGTTACCCCACGACTCAGTGCAGCGCGACACGGGCTCATGCCTGTGACGTGAACGCGGCTGAGCTGGAGCTAGCCTGCGCCGGGTGTGACGGCAGACCACATGCGTGATGACCTTCGGGCAGTGACGCGGTTATGGAAGCCTCCTGAGCTGCGGGCACTGTGTGCCTGGGGCATCCTGGGGAGCTGGGAACCGTTCTGACTGAGTCTGTCTCCCTCACCTTGTTTAAAGGCGTTTCAGAAATTGGACACATGAGTAGAGAACGGTACGACTGGGGACAGCGTGGGGTCGAGGCCAGAGACCCTGTTGGCAGATCCCAGCAGAAGGGCACTGCCAGCCCCACGCTGCCGCTCAGCGCCCCTTCCCGGTGTCCCCCCTGGGCTGCAGCAGCTGGCGGGGCACCAGGCTGAGAGAGTCCCGGGCTGGTGGCGCTGGGCCTGGGCCAGTGCGCCCGCCCCAGCTCCTGCACAGGTGCCCGAGGACGGAAGGCGCCCCAGGCCGCGGGTGGTGGTGGGAGAAGCTTGCTCAGGGCACACAGGGGGTAGACTGAGAAGCACCAGTGTGCTGGGCTTTCTGAAGCAGGCCATGGTCACCTCCAAAGACGCTGTCGAGGGTCAGGTCCTCTCCACCCCTGGCCCGGGACGCCGGGTGTCCAGCCCTGGGTGCAGGCCACAGGGCTCCTGGGGAAGTTCTCTCAGGCAGCCCCCAGCCCCAGGCCACTCAGAATGGGGGACAGGCTGGGCTTGGGAGGGGGACATCTCAGGGTCCCAGCCAGCCCTGCCAGGCCAGGGTCCCAGCGGGTGGGGCCTGGGAGCTGCGTTAGTGAGGCAGCACCCCGCACTCTCGTCATTTTGCCCCTAACAGCAGTCTGAGAACTTCTGCCTGCTTCCACCCAGGGCAGGCTCACCTGTACGGGGAGGGTCGGGGGGAGGGTCGGGGAGGGTGTGGAGGGTTGAGGGCAGGTGCGGGTCAAGGGCCTCAGTCTGCACAGCCTCCCTTGGAGAGGCCCCTCCCCCTCCCCCCCTCCTCCTCCCCGCCAGGCCTTGAGCTGGGAGGGCGCCAGGAACATTCTGTACATCCTGGGCTGAGGCAAACACGAAGGAGAGGGCGTGCCTGCAGGAGGAGGGGTCAGAGAGCGATGCTGGGCGCACGGGACGGGACGTCCCGCACGGCACCGCCCCACACATGGGCACGGGGGCCACGCTCAGACGCCCAGGGCCATGTCCTTGCACGTGAGCCAGCGCTGGGCAACATCTGTGTCATGCCACAAGCCTGGCCTCAGCGGAAGACTGAGACACAGCTCGGAAAGACGGGGAGCAGCTGGGCGGCAGAGGGGACGGGCACGTCAGAGGGCACTGGACACGATGGGGCTGGACGTGACAGGGGCGCAGGACCCCGCAGAAGCAGACAGGACTCTGCAGAAGTTTGGCAGAAAACATTCTCTTGGAAAACAAACTGCTCCTCAGACCAGTGGGCATAGAGGACCGGTTCCCAGCCAGTAATGGCGACACCCAGGGAAGCCACAATGAAAGGGACTCAACACAGGGGCCAAAGTCATAGGAGAAAGAAAACCTTCAGCTGGAAAAGAGGCAACAGACGGGGGTTCCAGGTCCGGGCAAAACGTGTTTAACAAAAACGTCCACGCCAGGCCACCTCTGGCCAAACTTACGAACAACACAGAAAAAGAAAATGATCTTAAGAAAAACGTAAACACGTTGGCGATTCATTCTTAGATGAAACGAGACACAGCCCGTAGCCGGGGCGGGCCTCGCAGGGCCTGCTGTTCGTGCCGCAGGCCCGTGGGGCGCTCCGCGCTCTTGCCAGTTCATCAGCTCAAGACCGACTGTCTCTCTCGGCCTAATCCCCAGACTTCGATCCTCGGGGAGTGTGAGATCAGTCTCTTCCCCACGAGTGGATGGTTTTGGCCATGGCCTGGTACCCTTTGCGGAGGCTGCATTCTGGAATGCGCCCCCAAATGCAGGCGTGGGGCTGCCTGGTGTCGGCGGCCCCGGTGACGCCGTGCGTACTTGTCTTGCAGGGCGGTCCCCCTCCTGGGCTACCTGCCTCAGGACCTGATCGAGACGTCCGTGCTCCTGCAGCTTCACCCCAGCGACAGGCCCCTGATGCTCGCCATCCACAGAAAGAGTAGGTCCCCTCTGGCCGATCCCGAGGCTCTGACCAAAGCTGGGGCGTGCCCAGGCTCCTCCTGACCCACGCCAGCAAAGACCGATGGGGTCGGCTCCCGAGGCCGTGGCGGGTGCCCCACCCCTGACCGTCCCAGCGCTCAGTGGGTCCTCCGCGGCCGAGGCCGTCGCGTTCTTACTGGCTTCCTGGGCGGCGGGAGGAGGGCAGACAGGGTCAGCTGTGGTGGGGGACGTAGGGACAAGGCCGGGGTGGCAGACAGCACATGTGCCCCCAAGCCCAGGCCTCGCAGACGCAGGTGACGTTTGGAGACCAACCAAAGCCAGCAGAGCTGTGAGTCCTGACACGTCATCAT